TGCATTTCGGATTGCAGGTATATTCGCTTTCCAAACGTTTGGGCAAGCGGCTGTTGACCTATGTATGACGGCCTGGATCCTGAACATAAAAGTAATAACTATGTGGTCACTACTACCTAGCGGCGCCAGGCACCTAATGTTACCAACATCCTCTTTCTGGTGTGTTAGCGCCAAGTCTAGAATGGACGGATCATGTTCAGGATGGTATCGTGTTGGTGCATCCATATGCTGCACAAGTGCACATTCAAGTACTGCCAGTATTAGTTCCCTATTGAAACAATTGTACGAAGTAGCTGATGTTAATTCCTCCCAATTAATATGCGGGGCATTAAAATCATCTACTATTAGACACCTATTCTTTCTACTCCACGTCCTGAGGTGATTTATAACGAAATTGTCAGCTTGGCTTGTAGGACTTCTATAAATAACCCCTATCGTTACAGTGCCTTTGTTCAAGTTAATGACACAACCTGCGGCTTCACAGGTGCCACTGTCATGAGCTTCCGACAACGTCGACCTAATTCCTATGTCATCTCGAATGTATAAAGCGACCCCCCCCCACCTTTCCGACTACTTACCCTGTCTGCTCTAATGCAGATGTACCCAGGTATGAGTGGAGTTAAGTCTATACCCATTAACAACCATGTTTCGGTGATAGCAATCACATCCGGCTGTAGTTCCTCAGTCAACACTCCTAGTTCGGGAAGCTTATTCCTAAGACTACAAGCGTTCGTGTAGCATACTGAGAGACCTATGTGTTCACTCGACTTATGAACAGAGGTCTGGGCAACATAGGTTTCCGAGACCTCACTACCCGAAAACCCAACAGTTTGAGGTATTTTTCACCTTTTTCTAATCGGGTCTTTAATTCAGCCACAGCTTTTCTTCTCCTAATTCTATCTTCCAAAGGCCAGTCTGGCCTAATTCTCATTTTTTTTATTCTTGATCTTGAATGCGTTGTTGAGAATAATAGTTTTCTCCATCTCGTTCCCCAGTACTACCTTCAGCAGTCGTGGGGAACTTTCCGTTGCATCGGCGATTCGTTTACCGATTCTGATGACTTTCCTTATGTGCACACCATTTGTTTTTTCCGGAAGTATTTCACGGATGATGGAGCTAACTATTTCGAGATCGTCAGCATGTCGAGCAGCTGGATCTACCTTCTTCGATTCCTCCAAATTCCAAATTACTATACTGTAATTTGAGTCCGAAGGTTTGATCTTATCAGTGTTTACGGCCGTTGAGACCTTATCACTAACCACAGTACTTTCCTCTTTCTTATGATTCTTGATCTTCCTACTCTTTGGCACTAGCCAGGTGGAATCAGATGGTTCCACATTACTCTCGCCGCAGTTGGAAGCTGTGCGTTCACCAGACACGCAACGCTTCATCGCTGTGTCTTACAATGTTGGCACTGTTTGCCCTCCTAGGTTTTCGGGGCTTTTTGCGTACTATTGCAGACTGCTGGGCACACTTCACCTCTGTTGCTTCTTTCGAAGCTAGGGGATGTGGTTCTGTCTCAGTCTTATGACTAAGGCCAGAATCCTCGCTTATAACATCTGTACTAGATGCTGCATTTTTCCCCTCATCAGAGGTTTTTGGTAACTTCTTGGACATGAGAAGTCCTACGGCCTCTTGGATGAGGACATCCAACGGATTTGTACAAAATTTGCACATCCACGGAGATGACGGCTTGCTGCTTCTCCTATAGGCTGATGGTGATAGGCCAGTGCAAACTTTATGGAACCATAGGTTGCAGTTATCACACTGCATCCCATCTTCCACCGGAAAGTGGCAGTCCGGTCGTCCACAACTATTTGTGGGACTCATGTCAGTATAAGCTGTTTAAGTTACACACAAATATGTATATATATAAACCTAAATACAGAGATATAAAAACACAAAAAGTCGCAAAAGTGCACAAAAATAGACACTGCTTCACCTAATTAAACCAGTTAAAGCAAACCAAAAAGCTTCTGATGCGATTTACACAACAAAAGCAGAAGTTACTTCACAACGTAAAAATGCCACACCTTAGAAACCTGATCCTAAATTTAATGGAGAGATTAGAGGTGAAATCCTATCTGTCAAATATAAGATGCAGGAAATCAGGTTACTTAGTTTCATACGGCATGATAGCAACGAAAGTTTTAAGTTTCCTTTCTGATCATCACAGTACTTGTAGTTTTAGGTTGAATCTGTTACGTAGTTTCTTCTCAAAGCAAGGGTTTGACGAACGCTCTTAATATTATGCAGAGAGTATGCCACCTGTTATACTACCAATATGGTGAATAATAACACTTAGGATTCTCACTCTATAGCAATAGTGTCTTCCCCTGTCGTGACTATGCTATCTAAGTCCGTTAGTTACTCAGCACTAATTAGTTTTGAGCGGCTATTCCACTGGTACCTAGTTTCCATTCGGACCTCCGCTGCATTCATCCTATCAAAAAGGAGGTCTGCGAACGAACTTTTCATACTGATATCTATTTGAATAACTTTTCATCCTCTATCTTTAAGGAATTCTTCTACCAGACTTGGGTTTCGCCTCTTTAGGGCCAGGAGTTTCAAATTTTTAAGAAACTTCCAAATTTTACAGTTTTTTTCGAGATAATGGAAATGATCTTTTCCCCTCTAAATAGTAAACCTGTTTTTGAAATATCACATCAAGACGGTGAACTTTTGAGGAAACAAGATTTAAAGATGGGAATTTAATTGTTACAGAATACGTGCTCTTCAGTAACCGTGATTTTTGGACGTTGTACGCGTTAACATAAGGTTTACAATGTGGTTTTAAGGGACTAACATTGATATAGCAAAGCTTAAGTCGCCAGCAGTGGCCTCAAAGTGAAGAGCACATAAAAATATCTGGGTGGGGTGAACTTATATTCCTCGAAAATATTATGTAAAGATGGCTATTCGGTACAACTGGTGAGTGAGAAATTAAAAAGCTTAACCACAAATGGAGACATTATACGTGCATTTGGTCATCAGAGTTGACTTCACTGAGGGTAGTCTGAAGATGGATTTTTAACTCAGAGAAACACCTGTGTGCACGTTAGGCGTGGTATTCCATGACTTCTTCAATAGTCTGAAGGACAGGCTTTGCATCTGACCAGTCCCACATATGTTAATCCATGTATCTGTTTGAGTCAGACATGTAGGTTATTCAATGCGAGATTTTTCCAAGCTAATGCGAAATGCTGTGAAGGAATACCAATGCACTTAGCGGAAATGCTTTGGTCAAATACCTCTTTGAAACTAATTAATGTGAATTGGTGTTCAAGTTAATCTATAACAGTAAAATATACCTACCGATTGAAGTGTGCCTCCAACTTATCTGTATTCAAGTTCTTGCTTTTTTTTCTGTACCTTGGTCTTAACTATTGGTTGTTTTATTTTTGATTCTTTTAGCTTCAATCTTAAAAAGTTTGTTTTTAGCATTAGCAACCTAAATCATTTTTCGTTTCATTTCCGTATCTATCCTTATCACATTATCCTGAAAACTGTATTTCTACACATCGTACAACTGTATGTCCAACTAGCCAGTTATTTTAGGTACTATAACATTTTGTGACTGATGCGTACATACCATTTTGCTTGTGGTTTTCTCCTGTTTTCTTAAAAATTTCAGTCTCCATTTAGCTTAATACTCCTCGGTAAGAATAATAAATATTGTGTAAGTAGAAAGCGAATAAAAGTGCGATTGACGGCTTACTTGTCTAGTATTTTAATAGGTAAATTATTTATATTTCAATCATGAGATTATCACTTTGTGTAAACGACTATTGAAGTATGAATGTAATCAATTTGATGTATTCCACAATGCACAAACTTTTCACAGACATCAATTCTAGTAGGTATTCTTTGTAATTAGTTTTATTTTTATGAGTGTAATTTCAAATATTCCTAATGTAAGTGTAGAACTTGGGCACTGTGGTAAAATGTACTCCCATATTAGATTAATTTATTTTAAATATCACACAGCGATACAGTAGTAACAACTGGATGACGTTTTGAGCATAAATTACTGCTCATAATCATATCAATCTAGTCACATGGTTTCACAATTAGTCTTACATATTTTTTCTCCCTTTCTTTTCCTCCAATTTCCCTTTGTTATTTGTTGCCACTTTCCATATCCCTAGTATAGGCATTGCGTCATTCCGGTTGCACGTGTACCGTTTTGAATCAATAAACAAAGCTTCAATGATTAACCTCTCTCTCCATCTAACTATATTACTTTTTAATACTCTCATCCTGCCCCCACCCTATTTTGTGATTACATGCAAATGAATGCAGTGCAATGGCTGAGCCAGGAGAGGGCCAATTATTCTAGGTCTAACTCAATTTTTATGTTCCAATAATTCAGTTGACGTTGATGAATTAGTTTGACCTATGTAACTGACCTCACAGTCATTACATGGGGTATTTGGTAAATTATATTACTTATCTTAATTGAGCCGGCAAAGTTTATCTCTGAGAGATTCGGTCGATTTAAACGCTACCCTAATTCCAGCCTCATTGAGAATCCTACGTAAGGCCTCTGACGTTCCTTCTTTATACAGCAGTACTACAGAGGCTTTGAATTCTATATTATTTTCGTCATTTTTATTGCTTTTCTTGATTTTTCTATGGTTCTGGTGGATATTTATTCACTAGTTTGAGCTGATCAAAACCTAACGAAGCTTCTTCCCTTCTTAGATTCACTATTATTGTCAAACTGCCTTCAGCAAACAGTCTGCCTGTTGTATAAAGCATTACTTCTCAGTGTAAAAATTAATATTTCTATGCCCTCAGGTCATAGCAGCAGAGATAGCGGAAACTCAGCAGTGGTATTTTCTCTACGTTGTCGTCTACTTGTATTTATTGTGGCGCGCTTAATATATATGGTGTGTATTATACCTATATATATATATATATATATATATATATATATATATATATATATATATATAATCCTGTAAATCGGAGTATCCTTAATGTTCTATTCTTCTTAGGTGGTTTGACTACAGTCCATTTGGTGTACCGCTAAAAGGGACACGCTTTCTTCCGCTTAAACTACCAATACCATTAGAAAAGGCGTTTAATATCCCTCCTCATTTGAGGTGAGTATAATGTACGATCCAGCACATAATACACAGATTTTCACTAAATGATCTGCTTGGACACGTCCAGTCGTATAATCAGTACCTGGCATGCGTTATAGACTTGACATACACAAAATATTACTCTACAAAGGTAACATTCTTTATTATTTATCTTCTTAGTTCCTACATGATAATAATATAAGGTATCACAAGATATACGTCGAAGGTCATAAAATCCCAGATTCGAAAAGCGTCGCAAAGCAAGTTTTTTGCCATTTTACGATGTACTTCTTTGTAGATTCTTTGACTTGGTGAATGAGGAACGAAAGCAGAGTCCAGGTTAGCTCTTATCTGTGATACTAAATTTTAATAATTATATGTATTAATTTGAAATTATACGTTCTTTTAATTGATTGTGTGTTGTCAACCATTTATTTACAGAAGGGATGAATCTTCTAAGTACATTATTTCAGTATATCTTCAGTTTTGTTATGAGTTGTTCCGTTCACAGCTTACCACATATTGCACTTTTTTGTTGTACTTGCATATCAGTTAATAACAGTTATCACTTATATAGATCAGTTAAACTATCTAAGCAATCTCACCATTTTTTTATTGACTAACGAAATATCCTCATGGATAATTGGATGCAATGCAGGAACAGTCTGTAGATGTGACTGAAAAAGAATGCTGAATAATGTTTCTGAAACAGCAATTCACCCATAGTAACAGAGCTATGGTTGGTTGTGTTATACCCAAACTTGCTAGTTGGATATACTTTCATCGGTCAATCTTGTTAGCTGTATCTCTTTTTTCTAATAAAAATCAGAATATTTTAACAGATTAAGAATTGTTTGTGATGTTTGTTTAATTGTAATGAGTTAATCAATTCATCTTTTCGTATTTTAGATGGCATAATAGCTGTACATTGCACACATGGTGTAAATAGAACGGGTTACTTTATATGCAGGTAGGTATGACGTTTTTGAGTATATTGTCTACTTAATTCAAGATATCTCATCGATTATATGAAATGGGATCCTAAGGACGCCCTACAAGGTATACACTCTTAATGATAAACTCAGACTATACTTTTTAGAGTTTGAATACGCACGTGGTCATCCCGTTGAAAGAGAGAACTACATCGAAGATTTAATGTCTTCTGTTGACAAATCAAAATCCAAAGTTGACGTTGAAGAAAACTAATCTGAATAAATATGTACAAAACCAATTCTTCCCTTTATTATCCCTTAAATATGACTACTAAGATTTTTTAGCAGTTATGTGTAATATAAAAATATCACCTGTTTTATAATGGGAATACAAATTTTAAAAAAAGCAATCATTTCTAATTTTCATACCTGACAAATGATATTGGGTAAGCTAAGCTCTACGTATAAGGAATTTTCAGAGGCTTTGTTACATGATAATATCTTGAAGACCAAAATCCTATAATTTGCTCAAGTAGTGAAAGATGTGGAAGTCACAGCAACGTTTCGATCGGTCGGTCGGTTTTCGACATAGAACTTTGCACATATGTGCGGCAGTTCAAGTCGCCACACTCCATGTAGCAAACAAAGCAAGAGAAGAAAGTAGAAGAAATGCATAATGTAGTCAGTAAACAGAGGTGTGAGACAAAGGAATAGTAATAACGGAGAACAAAACAGTTTCATTGGAAATCATAAGTCACAAGGAGTGGATGCATCTGCGCCACTGAGAACGATTTTGAGCCATGTCACCAATTGTTTCCAACCATTGGTTTTTACCGTCCCGAGGACCCCAACCAGGAAGTCTACATTTTCCTACGTGGCTTAAGCTAACTGTTGTGGATTTCATTAACTTGTGCCATGTTTTGGTTTGACCGCCGCTAGCTCTTTTCCAGCCTGGCCCTATATTACCTAGCATTGCCCGTTGAGGAAGGCGATGACTAGGCATACGTAGCACATGTCCTAACCATCTCTGTCGATGTAATTTCACAGTCTCGTCGACTGATTTCCTCACCTTACCTAGCACTCGACGCCTAACCTCAATATTGCTCACCTTATTATACCACTTCACGCGGGAGATAGAACGCAGACACCTATGATCGAAGACAGCTAATCTTTTCATGTCTTCTGCTCTCAATGGCCAGGTCTCACAGCCATAAAGGAGGACGGAGCGGACTGTTGAGCAGTACACACGCCCTTTGGTCGATAGTCGGATATCACGTCTACGCCAGAGATGGCGTAAACTGGCATATGCGAAACTAGCCCTCTGTATTCGTGCTGAGATTTCGTCAGAGATCAACCCGTTGGGGCTGATGGTACTTCCCAAATAAGTGAAGCGGTCAGCGTGCTCTACCACTTCACTTCCTATTTCTAATCTAGGGGTCGGTGAAGTCCAATCCTGCAGCATCATCTTACATTTTACAGGGGCGAATCGCATGCCAAACATGCAAAGATTGTTGCTCAAGGTGTTCAGTAGACTCTGCATTTTGTCAGCGTCCTTGCCTAGAAGGACTATATCGTCCGCATATTCTAAGTCAACGAGATTCTTCCCTGGTAGCAAGTCAATCCCTGAGTCGCTGAAGTGTGTTAGGGTTAAGTCCATTAGTACGTCTATGATGAAGTTGAATAGGAATGGGGATAATGGGCATCCTTGACGGACGCCACTAGTCGTCACCACTTCGGATGACAACTCGCCATAAGCCCTCACCTGGCTGCATGAGTACGAGTAGAGTGCCTTACAGCAACGTATAGTTTCACAGTATTAATTTAGATCGGTCTAAAGATGACGTACTACACTGGATTCGTTTAATTTAGTGTTATTATGATTACAATGGTATCTAGGTATTTCTTTAACTTTTGAAAAAGGTCAAGAATCTTTCATATTGCACGTATTGGATGATGACTCGTTGAATCAAGTTGAAATAACCAGTGCTGAAATCAGTGTTTCCTTTTAGTCACACTGATTTTTTATGACTGACGGTTTACCATCTGCAGTCTGGTGACTTTAAAGGCCTATTAGTTGGTAAAATGTAAAAACTGGACTCGTTTCAAAGTATAATACTTAATTGAAGTCGACAGATAAAGTGTTTAGAAAACACATTTAGCTTTTCTAGATTTAAGTTGCTTCTCTAATATCCGTTTGTAAGTATTTCATGTATTAGTGGAAAGTTATGCTTACTGTATTTTGTATGGTGACTTAATTGTTGTCGACTATTATCCAATGAGTTTCCTAAAACTTGTACAGAATATTTGCGTGGTATTTTGATTTGTTATTCTTTTATCGATTACAATACCCACCAGTTCAGTTACACAAAATCTAAAAAAAGTGCGCATGATTAGATATTTCTTAACGAAATGTGGAACATTATAAAACAAAATATCGATTACAGTTCATCCATAGCAATATTTATCAAATCCTTTAGTTGTTTATTTATTGACATCAACGTACTATTTAGCTCTTCCATTGATGTTTGCTCCATTCCTGAAACATAATGTAACGGTTTCAACCCAAGATAGCTTGTACCTGAAGTTAAAAAAAATTATTATTAGGGGTTTCAAATCAAGTCGGTCTTATTAAACTAGTCATAGGGAACAGAAACACAACTTCACATCAACTGGTACCCTAATATTATTTTGAATAATCTTTGGTTGGTGATTTGTTGTCTCTTAAATAACTTATATTTCAACTATCTTGATCATGTTTTTGTGTATAAATAACAATTTTCTAACTGTGCAAAACCGATTTATAATATATCTAGTGATGGGCAGCTTTTTTCCGTATCCTGATGCCAGTTCACTGGGAGCTTATGTATGTAAAAGTCTCTCCGTAGCCATCCCTTGGACAATATATCGAAGAGCGAGATCATTATGTCAATTAGTACCAATTCTCGTTCAGTCTTATAGATTAGACAACCCAGTAGCACTGCAGTAATACGATTAATTACTACAGTCACAAAACAACTGCATAATGTGCTTCATATAGGCAAATGCTCTTGGGTATGCTTTAACTTTATGTATTCTTGGGAATTCAGAGAATCACTTCGTGTACCACTCATTGTTGATTGCTGTTCCACCAATTTAAACAAAATTCGCCTCTTAATTGTATGAATCTGTATTTGGTGTATAAGTATTACGAATGGGAAAACAGTGAAGAAGGGCATTTCTAGGTTACTCACTCTTGCAAAAGATAATTGTTTTATGAATGTATAGTTGATTTTAGTTCTTCTGGACGAGAGACATCCATCTTTTAGGAATTTTTCTACTTCGATTTTTATCTACCGAAAGCTTAGAAAATTGCTACCTACAAGGAATTACATCGAATAATGACTGCAAGTTGAATATGCAAAATGATAATATTTGATAGGTTATGGCTCGCAGCGAAATTCAGGGCGTATCTTTTCTTGTTTGACATTCGTCAGTCAGATCTGCCTGCACCGGGGCTCGAACTCGGAAACCATCGTTTCAACATGGATCACTTCGTTCTGGTGAATCAGGCAATGGGAAATTTAATTCCCATTAAATACTAGCTGATACCTGTCACAAAAGACGTAGTTATCAAGACTCATCGGAACACTGAACAACGTCATGGTATTTGTAATAATGGATGCAAGATTCTAATTTCAACCGGAGCATGGTCACTGACTAGAATGCATGTACCGCTGGCTGATGAGTCCGTAATAGAAAGAAACATATGTTCGTTCTTGGATTCTTCTATTAGTCTTGCCGAAAATTAACCATATTCTTTGCTCCTTATAATTCACTGTGACTAATATTGACAGGAGAATACCCATTTGCCAGCTAGTGGGATGATATTTATTAGTTAGTTACATACCATGACATGACACATGATGGTTTCAATGAAATATTGTCTTAGCAGCCGGGTTATAGCTTAACAATTTGAGCTTCAGATTTAGAAGACGCTGGTTTGAACCCTTTAGTGACCTAGGATTACATCTGACTAGTCAAAGTATGCTTTTGTTCATCATGAAAATGTACGATGAGACGCAGTGAAAGTATTAAAATGCAACATAATCAGGTGAAAGGATTGATTACTGAGTCTTCGTATATTAAGTTAATACCAGATACATGTAACGAATCGAGAACTTAATACCATTACCAGATATATGGGAAATTCCAACTTCAGGAACAAAAAATTAAAAAAGTTTAAACTGAGTATGTTTATAAACTAGAAAAATTAGCCCAGTGTTATCGAGAAAACAATTCCTTATTATTGTGCGTTATAATACATACTTCACCACATATATCTAGTATTCGATTGATTAGTGTTATTTTGCTCAGTATTAGCCACTGAAATCCCGATAGCGATATATAAACAATGTCGTGTTTGCGGATAACGTTTTAAATACCTTGTAGTTTAGGCTATGTTTATCGACACCTACCTAAGGCGTATTAATTTCCAAACTCCCATTTACGCATATAGAAAAGATAAACTGATCGAAGAAATATGTTCCTTTTCAATTAGTTCCTCATCATCGGCTCTACACTAATATATAGTTTTTTATATCAACATGTTGCCAATCATGTGATTATTTTAGTCCATCACTTTTAAGTATAGTGGGTGAAATCAGGAGTTCAAAAGTTATCAAAATTTCTGAACAAACATATGAACTCAGTAAGTAAACAGCCAAAGGTGCCCACAGTTTATAAAAAATCAGTCTTCCTAAGATTACAATTCACGGGTGATGTTAATAGTGCGATCTTATCACAACGTCTTAGAATGGCCTTCAAAAGGACGATCAACGCAGCCAAGTTATCCTGTATTGAATTAGTTGTGTTCTCTTAGCTGGTTGATTTAATTGCGAGGCTTTCGTCGTCCTTCTAGGGAACATCTCCAGTGCAGGTTTTAGTATAAAAATGAACTTATTTAAATTATCCATGAATGATGTAATTGCATCTCCTAGCAACCACTGCCGTGACTGGAATTTTGTTGTCCATTCCATTCTTAGATGTTTTACTCAGGAGAACTAACACAAGAAATTTAGAAACACAAGTATATAAAAAATCAACGCACACAGACCAAACACTCAACTATAATAGTAATGACCCAATTAACCAGAAAAGAAACTGTGTGCAGATATTGTTTAAAAGAGTTCAAACACATTGTGGCACTCCGGTGTTGAAGAGAATGGAGGAAAAATACCTACTAACCATCTCCAAAAAGAATGGATTTCCTCACAATTTCATGAGAAAGTGTTTAAGCTCGAGTCATAACACCAACAACAAACCAAAATCATAGACCACCAATTAAATTAAGTAGCTCCGAGAACACAACTACTTCAATATCATCCACGTGAGCTACAAATCTCCAATAAGTTATGTTGTATAATCACTAGCCAGCCAATACTTAGTTCAAGGAATAAAGATAAACTGTCCTGTTTCGCCTCTTCCATGTATATTTATCAGATTAATTGCTCGTGCGGATCTAGTTACATAGGACGTACGATCAGGTAAGTTTATCATCGAATTTCTGAACACCTCCTATCTTGGTTTGGCAAAGGTCCAAATAAAGCTATAGGCCGCTCAATACTAGCTCATCTCGTCGATTCTGACTGGACAACAAGTTGACTGCAACAAAGCTTTTAAAGTTATTTATCGTATATCACCCAACCTCCCGTATGGTCTACGAATACGACTTTTACTTACAGAAGAAGCAATCGGAATACATCTGAACAAGCAAAATCAATGTGTTCAAAAGAAATTTGTACAACCCCTTTCTTTGCCATGGCCAACTACATAATATGTATTAAGTTTTTAAGGACGATTTCCCCACCCACCCCTTGTAACTATATTTTGACTTTGTTAATTTTCACAATCTCTACAATTCTAGATAATTCTATTAACTTGTTTGTATTTTAAGTAACTCTTTTGAGTCACATTATTCTTCTTAGTCATCATTGCTATTTTATAAACGTCTTGATTATGTAATAACTTGTCACCAACGTCTAAGAATCAACTTATCTTGAATTCCGTAATTAATTTTCACCCCTCTTTTAAAACTTAGATATCTTGTTACTAATATCTATTAGTTATTTGTTTTGATGACATTTAACCTCTTAATTTCACCCCCTATACCTAAAACTGATTAACTAAAATAACCACCTAACTGGTAAAATTTTAATGTAAAAACCTAATTATTAGTGTAGAGCTGATGATGAGGAACTAATTGAAAAGGAATATATTTCTTCGCTCAGTTTTTTTTTTGTAAACCACATTAGTTGTAAATCAATTTATGTTTTTATTTATTGTAATTTATGAATCTCTTGCTTGGCGAAGATAGACCAACTAGGTCTAAGCTGGTGTATCGGTTCCCTAAAGTCCTAGTCATTACAAGGTATTAAATATATTTATCGATGTCATCTTAATGTACTTTTAGACTTCTTAATCGTCGACTGTTTTCCTTTGTGTATTTTTGAGTTCAAATCGCATGTAGTTTTAGTTTTGTTGCGATCCTAAATATGGTTCCGGTAATACTGAAAATTTTTTGAAATCTTCCGTTGTGTTGCCGTTATAACTTACATCATTATTTGTATCCATCTAATAAGGTTTCACAAACTTTCTTATAAACTCTGGAGGATAATTTACAAATAATACCTCTTTACTATTAGATGGTTGGAGGCGATCGGCGGGAAGCCTTAGACCTAGGTTTCGTGCTAGTTGGCACTCGTCAGTAAGGCGTATCTGCAAATAAAATCAATGTGCACGGTGATGGCGAGCTACCTAGAATGGTGGCCACATTACAACCTGACTGATAGAATTCAGTCTGCACCAAAGAGAGAGGACTAGACACATCACACTAGTTACTAGTGTCAAATCAAAATACCTCTTTACTATATTTGATTACTTCATTTAAATTTTCCAAATTATTAGTGAAACTTCGTGGGTTACTTGTTTAAGCATCTTACTGATTCTGTTGTAACAGATATGGATTAAGAAGACATGGGAGTGTAGTTATTTGTTTGAAAGTGGTAGTTTTCAGTGAAGACTTTTGTCTAAAACACTGTCATCTTTTCACCTTACTTTACAATTCAACTTGATTGACTGACCTTCGTTTTCTATTGCAAATAATCTGAATACGTCATTCCTAGTATATAAATATCACCATGTCCAGCAGATGAAATTATTTGTCTACTTTTAGTTAAATCAGCTACATAACTTGTTAGTCACTTCATATAAAAAACAGTTTGACTTTTTTAAATATTCAGTGAATGGCCATTTTTTGAGGTTTTACTCACCTGTTTGGAACTCGATAAAAGTATCGTAGATATAGATTGCAATAGTAGCATCAACTTCAGTAGCAACAATGCGTCCATTAATTTTAGCATTAGCTTTAGCTAGCTTAAATCTGAAATTATAAAATGGTTCACAAATATGATCCGAAATAGTAACAAAAAGAATGAATTGAAATGTTTAACTAGAAGTGTGTTCATAATATCTCAATAATTTACGCTTTATATTCTCATGTATTGTACTAAATCAAAATATGTATGCACTTTTTCACTTCATTTAACATTAGTTTGTGTTCACTCTATGTTATGCTTTTTATATAGATAGTCAAAATCATCTTTATCAATCGTTTGAGCAGACATATTTTTATCGTTTGGAATTATAACAACTTTCCCTAATTTTCAAGTATTGGTATTGTAGGAATTTTTGTTTGACTGGTTGGAGGATTTCATCATGAGCTGACATCAGTTAGAGAACCATTGGAAAACCAGATGGGAGTACTAAGCAGCTGTTTCGCCCTATTTTGGGACCCTTCATCAGTACGCGCCCACCACCAGGGTTCGAACCCAGGACCTTCTGGTTACAAAGGCGAGCTCGTAGATCATTGAACCACTGGGACCCGATCCAATGGCCAGCCCATCAATTCTAACTTCTGCTAGTTCATGGCATAGCGCGACCACTTCGCAATGTCTTCTTCGATGAGTTACTGCATCACATTCAACCTGCTACATCCTACTGGTAACGGCTTCACACTAGAACCCCAGGTTAACTACCTGAATTGGACGTACTGACGAAAAGTCCCAAACTTGGGCGAAACGGCTGTCCGGCACTTCCAGGCTTTCCAATGGTTCGCTAACTGAGGTCAACTCATGATGAAATCCTCAAACGTTCCCTAATTTTTTTTTATATTCTCAGTATCATGTATATATTCACAAATGAATAGGTAGACGTTGATTAGGGCACTACGAAATTTATAAGAATGTGGGCCCATATTTCTGACCCAGTATCTTGGTTCATTTTCTAACCAATTTGACTGAACACTAGGTTTTAATGGCACATTATTCAAAGACGGAGAAGAGCATCTTCGATACCGATGGATTTGCGGTAGTTAAACTAATACTTAATGATTTCATTACCTTATACGTGAAAGCTATTTGGACGGTTTTTTTAAAATTTCAAATATATTCACTACTGGAACACTGATTTGCTTTCATCATCGAATAGAAACGGGATGCATTATTCTGATGCGAGATAAAATGGTAAAATAAATAAATAAATAACAATACATACAGTGTAGGTAGTGCAGAAGCTGGAGCTGTCTGTTGGTCGCCGATGGACGAACGCCTCATTGCTAAATAATAAACTTTCAATAATTGGCTGGCGTCGTCTTCAATCTTCACCGGAGGTGAATTTTTGCAAGCATCTAAAAGCTTTCAGGTTAAAAATGAGAAAAAAGGATTATTGGTTTCACGCTGTACACATCCCTAAATACAAACACTTTAATTTCCAAAATGTTAACCGTCAAATAATGTCAACAGATAATTTAACGGTGTAACAACAGAAGGCAAGACATGGAAGCCAAGGTTTATTTTCCAGTGGTCAAACCGCTATACATATAGTTTATACTCTCTAACCAATCACTGAGCGTGTGACTTCGGTTAACATCAAACGACATGAAGTAGAATGTTCAAATATACGTAGTATTATATCACCAATTCAGTATGTAAATGTGGGGAATGTATTCTGTCTTTGATTGGACACTAGTAACTAGCGTGATGTGTCTAGTCCTTTCTTTTGATGCAGACTGAATTTTATCAGTCAGGTTTGCAATATGGCCACCATTCTAAGTGGCTCGCCATCACGGTGCACATTGATTCGATGATATTAGATGGTTGGAGGTAATCGGCAGGATGCCTTGGACCTGGGTTTCGTGCTAGTTAGCTCTCGTCAGCAAGGCGTATCTGCAACCTTCAAGGAACTCATGGCCCTTCTGAGATTCGAACGTCTCTGACTGCCTGACTGGGTGACGCGGGTTCGAATCTCAGAAGGGCCATGAGTTCCTTGAAGGTTTCAGATACGCCTTGCTGACAAGAGCTAACTAGCACGAAACCTAGGTCCAAGGCTTCCTGCCGATTACCTACAGCCATCTTATATCATATATTTTGTCTCTAACATCAAATAGAATGTGTGAGAGTAATATTCCGTTGGAACACATTGTCGGTATCACACCACCACAACGGAAATAGAACAGAAGAACTCAAAGCATTCATACATTTACTAAGGAAATAAATAGACTGCAGTTAGTGTTTCCCGTTCCTTACTGCGCTACGGACACACCTATTGTGTGGGGGCCAGTGGGTGATACCCGGATGTCCAAACCCTGTAGATTAAGCGGTGTTTGAACCAGTGACCCACTGGTTAGAGATTGAGCGTAGAAACGAATGAGCAATAGCTCTTGTTTACTGAGTTGTTTATTATCCTGTTTATCCATTATTTCATTTTCCATGGAATTCTCTTACTAATGTAGTTTATTGCTTGTATCTGTTTGTTTCACACATATTTGATACGGTACTTAGTTTTTTTCCAAACTCTTATCTCAATGGCTTTTGAAATTTTCAGGTCGTTAAGTCTTTTGGTAGTATAAATAGCACTGAAGTATATATATATGAATGATGAAAAGCGCTTTGTATTCTGTAATTTCGTTGTATTCTCAATTCAACTAACAAAATTAACATGTACTCTGTAAACCATATTACCTATTAGTATTTCATTTTTGTTGGGATTTTATTAATCTAATTTTAAACTTCGTAGCTATTTCCTCATCTATTTAGCATATAGTCCTTTGTGATATGTTGAGTGCTTGTTTATTGTGATTGTCCATGGATTAGTTACTTTATTTTTCAACTGATAAAGTATAGTTCAGGGTGTATTATTTCTACAATGCGTTTAAGGCTTAGTAGTTAACACTTAACACATATTGTAGTGGTGTGATACAGACAATGTGTGCCAACGGAATATTATTCTCGCATATTCCCACAGTAAAATTCAACATTAGCAACAAAATATGATATATCTATTTGAACATTCCGTTTGATGTTTTTTTGATTATAGCTTGATTCCACACCGTATTTTCGCTACAGGTGTGGAATTTTCAGCATGTGATATCGGTAGCCCAAATTTTGCAGGCCGACCATAGATATCGGGTGTGCGTCGGCAGGGGATCGAACCCCGGACCATGTTAATGGTTGGCGAGAGTCCTAACCACTGTGCCACCGAAAGAATGCATTTCCCACGGTTATATACTGCATTGACAGAAGAATACTATGTACATTTGAACATTCTATTCATGTTGTTTGATGTAAACCGAAATCAAAAGCTCAGTGATTAGTTAAAGAATATAAACTATGTATATATAAACAGCAGTTTGATCAATAGAAATTATACCTTGGCTTCCATGTCTTGCCTTTTCATTGTTACAGTATAAGTAATTTATAGGAATCGTTCACATTTTATTCACTTTTTATCAATTAATTTCAAAATATGAACTTTGATATTTGTAAAATCTTGGAAAAATTGAAATGAGTAATATTAACGTTTCGTTCAGTAAATTGTTCCGAACTTCATCAGAGAAACCAGTCCAAATTAAAATAACAGGGGTTTTTATAAAAAACTTTAAAAACTTTGTCCAATCATATGAGTCATGAAACAGGCATCAAAGTATAATCTGTCTGGATTCAACATAGAACTTCGCACCGAAGTACAGCAGTTCGAGTTGCCACGTTCCAAATAGCACACAAAAGTAGACAAGAAAATGAGTGAAGAGAATCAATAGAGTTTTGACAAGTATAAAAGTGAAACAGAATGAGTAATGGTAGAAAATAATATGAAAGATTACAGAAACCGAATATATCTGCGCCACTGACAACGATTTTGAGCCATGTCACCTATTGTCTCCAGCCATTGATTCTTAGAGTCCCGAGGGCCCCAACCCGGAAGTCTGTATCTCCCTACCTGACTTATTTTAGCTGTCAAGGATTTCATGGATTGATGTCATGTTTTTGTTTGGCCACCACTTACTCTTTTCCAACCTGCACCTATATCAGCTAGTAATGCCCGTCGGGGGAGGCGATGGTAGGCATGCGCAGCACGTGACCTAACCATCTCAATCTATGTAACTTTATAGCCTCTTCGATTGATTTTCCCTCTTTGCCCAACACTCTACACCTAACGTCAACATTACTTACCTTATTATGCTACCTAACGTGAGGAAGAGATCGTAAACATCTACGATCAAAAACAGTCAACCTTTTCATGTCTTCAACTCGTATTGGCCATGTTTCAGAGCCATAGAGAAGGACGGAGCGAACTGCTGAGCGGTACACACGTCCCTTGGTTGATAGCCGGATGTCACGCCTACGCCAGAGACGGTGTAAGTTAGCGAAAGCAGCCCGAGCCTTTTGGGATCCGTGCCGAGATTTCGTCACCAATCAGTCCGTTGGTGCTGATACAACTTCCCAAATAGGTGAAGTGGTCAACATGTTCTATCACTTCACTCCCTATCACTAAGCTAGCAGTTGATGTAATCCAGTCCTGTAGCAGCCTCTTGCATTTTACAGGGGCGAATCGCATGCCAAACATACGAAGATTGGTGCTCAAGGTGTTCAGAAGACTCTGCATTTTGTCAGCATCCTCCCCTAACAGGACTATGTCGTCTGCATATTCTAAGTCCATAAGACTATTCCCTCGTAACAAGTCGATTTCTAAGTCGTTAAGTTCAGTTAAGGGTATTTGCATTAGCATATCTATGATGAAGTTAAACAGAAAAGGGGAAAGTGGACATCCTTAACGGACACCACTGGTTGTTATCAATTCAGATGACAATTCCCCATAAGCACTTACACGGCTACGTGAGTTTGAGTAGAGTGCCTTGATTAGTGCAATGTACTTTCTTGACACTCCCTTCACAGTCAAACATTGTCCACGGAGTCGAAAGCCGCCTTCAGGTCAAGAAATATGGCAATTGTTGGACGCCGAAAAGTGTGTCTAAGTTTTAGGATCTGTCGGAGAGTGAAGATATGATCTATGCACCCTCTACCTGGCCTAAAGCCCGCTTGATTTTCCTTCGTTTGTTCCTCCCGAGTTCGGTTTAGTCTGTTCATGATTACTGAGCCTAGGATTTTGGAGACTATGTTCGTCAGGCTGATTCCTCTATGATTATCACATAAGGACTTGTTTTCCTTCTTGAATATTGGTATAATAAGTGACTTACCCCAATCTGATGGAACCGTCTCTGATTCCCAGACGTTACCTAGTACCTTAGTTAAACTATATACTAGTGTCACCCCCATATTTAAACACCTCCGGAATAATTCCGTTGTGTCCTGCCTCTTTGCCTTGTTTCAGATTACAGATAGCTTTTGTGACCTCACTTACAGACGGCGGGCCAGTGTCTATGTCCCATTCGGGTGTGTGCTGGATGGCGGGGAGGCTCAGTGTGGCTGTAGGCAAGTTAAATTGTTCCTCAAAGTGTTCTTTCCAGCGTTCAAGGCGTCTATCCTGAGAGCTAATTAAGGAGCCATTTTTCTCACAAATAGTCTCACTTATGATTTGCCTTCTCCCACCCGTTTCCCTGATGAGTCTCAAGAGTTGCCTAGTGTTGCCTATCGCCGATGCTTTTTCCATCTCTTTCGCCTTTGTCACCCACCACTGTTCACGGTCCTTGCGGAGACTTTTCGTAAGTTTCCTTTTGTGCAGCTTTCGCTCCTCATTGAATTCGGAGCTCGCCGGAATAAGTCTTCTAGCATCTATCAGTTCAGATGAGGCAGTCGAAATCCAATGGTTTTTACTCACCCTTGAATTTACCTTATTCACAGCTTTTACAGCTGTATCTATGGCTGACTGAATATTCTTCCGGGCTTCTTCAGGGTGAGCGCAGCTGTCGAACTCAGATATGTGTTTAGCTAGTTCTTCCTCAAATAGGGACTTAGTTTCCTGATCGAGCTGGGGACGTGATGGGTTTACCGCTAACCATTTCCTACGTCCGTTCAGTCGTAAGCACACACGAGCGCGGACCAGTGCGTGATCGGTATCTACACACGTGTTCCAGAAGGAGCGACAATCCCCTACCGACCCACGCCAACGATAGCTTATTGCTATGTGGTCTATTTGTGTCCAGTGTTGATTTGATGATGGGGGTAGCCAGGTCAAACAGTGTCTCTCCTTGTGTTTGAAGTTAGTGCTTACAAGAAACAAGTGATTATCTGAACAGAACTGTAGGAGACGGTCACCGTTGTCGGTTCGCTGGCACGGAATTCCGTATGTGCCACCGACATTCTTCTCAGATTGACACAATTTCCCTATTTGAGCATTAAAGTCACCAGCTAAAACGACAATATCTGAGCGTTTAGCCTTTCGCAGCAAACTAGACAGCTTTTGGTAGAACTCATCCTTCGTTTCATCCGAACTGCAGTCAGTGGGGGCGTAGGCAGGTATCGGCAAGTAGTGCAGTCCTTTCTCCTTTTCACTGATCCGTTCAAACGGGCAGCACACATTCGGCTATCTACCGGGATCCAGCCAAGTAATGTCTTTTCTGCCCTACTACTCAAAGCTATCCCAACACCAGCTAATCCTCGTGAGCTAGCTGTCGCATTTCCTGACACCCTCAAGGTGAATTTTGCAGATTCATACTGTTGGCCAGGTGGGGTTAGGTGAATAACCACACTTGGGTCTTGTATGCGTGTTTCTGAAATACAACATACATCAATGGGTCGGGATGCCAGAGTCTTGGCTAGTGATGCTTGTTGTCCTATTTGGCAAAGCGTCCTAACATCAAATGCTCCTATATGAAATTGGTGGCGTGGCTTTAGGAGACTATCGATGGTGGTTTTTTAACTTCCGTCGTTTTCACTACACACAGATTGAAGAGGAAGTGAAGAGCCATCAAGTAGAGGAGTCGCATTAGTAGAAGGAAGGCAAGATAATAGAGATGAGGACAAAGAATAGTGAGGATTAGAGAAGTTTCGCGTGCACTTCGGATTGTGAGGGCGATTGTTACTTCCCGGCTGCCCACACCGTGGAAGTTGGTTGCGTGACCGCAGAGCCCAGGGGACAACTGCTTGAGGCCGGTCACACACGGCCTGTTTTTGTTTTTGTTTTTTTCATTTGGTATGTCTCAGTAGCGTATTTATCACTTCTGCCCTGTGACACGGCAGCAGAAAGCGCGGTCGTTGTTAATCCGGGCCCCGACCGATCCGGCATGATATTTTGTGATTTATTTGAAGTCATAGGATTGGATTGGGTAACTGCTTTTAGTCTAACCGCTATCCAAACAACCTTTCTGGCATGGTAGGACCTGCAGGAACATAAGTTCCAGCCAGTATAGCTTGTTGGGTCATTGCGGTGTTCAAAGTATAATAAACAAAAGTGTATGAACTGTGATCAAAATTCGACGTCAAACTTACAAATATTAGTCTACTTTTGTTAAACAGTGTAAACAGTATGTACTTTTTCATCATTTGAATGATTACGTATGAACTTTGATTATGGTAAAACCTGTCTTTTTAAATCATTCACGGGTATAATAATAAAATGAAGTTCAGTAACAACTGTGCGATTTTGTGTTTTCTATTCGAGAACATTTCAGACTTTTAATCATGATTTCTCTTGTCAAGAAGACCCCCTGATTGAGTTCCTAATCAAAGAAGTCGAAATGTCTGAAGTGGATGACGCCAAGTAAAAATACTGTCTGAAAACACATAGATCTAACTAGGTTAATCAGAAACTAGCTAGCACTGAGTTACCTTTTGTGTTGTAAGGCAAAATCTTTCAAATATCTTAAATAAAACGTGCGGAATTAAAACCTTCAGATTTAATTAATATCATTAAAGAATTATAACTTGTTTAGATAAATTATCAAACATACGCTTGTGTATATTCTCATATATGAGTGTGAAGGTAATCTTGACGAATATTCTTCCACACTGGATTTGTCAGCCATTTTTAAACACAAATCGGACAGTGACTCGTCAATGAGTTCCATCGGCCCAGCAACTTCTTCAGTATAGATAACGAGATCGAAAGCACTGGATTTCATTAAAGAAAAGTGAATCTTACTGATCAGTAGAAAATAAATAATTATAAGTTACATATCATTTAAAGCACCATTTGTTAAGTGATTTAGACCCTTTATCACTTCTTTGTTTCGAAAGTAGTATCTCACTGTTCCATATAAATTCTGTAATTGAAACTAATCATGACAGAATATGTGCAACAATCATTTCGGCTACAGTAAGTGAAATATTTCTTCGCAGTTCATACATTATTCTTCTGCCTAAATTGGTATTTCTCTACTATCAACAACACGCTAAGGTGTACTTAAGTGATCGTTTGTCTTCACCAGTGAAGTAGAATAAAAACTTTCAGAAAAATAAAGTTTTGCATTGAGTGGTTAATCAACATGTCGGAAAATGAGACTTGCAATAGACTACCTTACTTGAAGTTGCAAATCTATTTACTTTATCCAGTTTTTTGATGTTATTTTTTTTAGATTACAAACGTTATTTGACTAGTAGGTATTTTATCAATCTAGTTGGATATAAAGTGATCTTGTAAAGGAAGATTAGCAAGAATTCATCATTTAGAGTCGATTCTGAAGATAAGTACATAATTTCAGTAAATCGTTTTAAAATATCTTAATATTCCTATAAACCAGCTTCTTAGCCGTCAGAAGTATTATTACGATGGTGTTAATACCCTGTTTTTTTTTAAATTTGTTGTTAACCCCCTGTGATATGAAATGGGGAGAAATCTACAAATAACTTTTTCAGTTGTATGGAAATAGTTGTCTTTAGTAAATATCATCTAGCAGTGTCACTATTAAGTATCATCTTTCAGATTGTATTATTGACTTTTGAATTATCATCCCTTGGCCTTCAACACTATGTATAAAGACTTCTAAGAGCTTTTGAAATTTCCATTGGGTAAGTAACTTAAATATGACATGGTATTGACAAGAAGACGTTCATTCGTTTGAAATATATGACTTCAGATTTTTGTTTTTCAAAATAAAAACTTACTGAGTAATTCTCTTTAAATTTCCTTTTCTTAATAAAGAACTACATGTCCATTTTGTTGTTGCTGTTGTTGTTTGTGTAGAAGGCTCTGTGTCAAATAAATCAGTTTGCGAAAATTTAAAAGTCGGTTCTTTAAGCTTTTCTCTGTATGCTGAAGTGATCTCAGCTGTAGCCCAGATAGTTGTTTCATTTGGATAAGGTAATTCATCAGTGATTTCACGATTAGGAGGTGATTTATTTTCATGCTGTACAAACGAAGTACTGACAGCCATATTCTCTAAAGCTGAGTCAAAAACCAAAATAGAAAAAAGATTGGTAGTAGCGTGGAGTGATGCAGATTGACAGGAAGCGGTCGAAATCGAAATCAACATTTTAAGTCAATGGCTGGAGAGGTAGAAGTGTCTGTTTCTCTAATCTGGGTTTATTTTACGTTATGGACACGAAATAACGTCATTGGACAACTTGCTTAGCCTTGAACCGAGTGACCACCAATCAGAACGCTTTATTTTGCTCTGTAAGTGTAGAACTTGGGTGCTGTGGTAAAATTTAATTTCATATTAGATAAGTTTATTTTAATTGTCACACAGTGATGCAGTATTAACAACTGAATGAAGTTTCGAGCATAAATTAGTGCTGATAGCCATGTCAATTTAATCACATGGTTTCACAATTTGTCTTATGTATTTTTCTCTTTTTCTGTGTCTCCAACTTCCCTTTGTTGTTTGTTGCCACTTTCCATATCTCCGGTATGTGCGTTGCATCATTCCTATTGTACCTATGCGGTGTTGAATCGATAAACAAAGCTTCGATGATTCTGCTCTGACCTACCCGAACTTCAATATGGCTAAGAATGTGTAAATGTGATGCGTTTTACTTTAATAATTGTCCGTTACCAATTGTCTTATCTCCTGGCGTTACTACAGTAGCGTTCCACCAAGATGGCAGCTTATGAGGCCTAAAAGCGGTGAAATAATCTTCCATACTATACAAGAGTTTTTACTGCTCTTGAGAAATAGACCACAAATGTTCCTCAACAAAAAGAACAATAGCAGAAATAAGATCTTGAAAAAGTATATTTCCTCCCTATGTATGTTTAAACCTGAAAAAGGATACTGGCAATACTACAAAACAACGTACTAGTCCATAGTTTACTGAGTTATATTAATAGGCTATGAGAAGCTGACTTTCCATAGTAAGACTAGGTTCTGCAGTTTATTTTCAAAAAAATATTTTATCACTGCTTCTCTACACAAGACGTTACAGTATTGTTTATATTCCTATCAATGGAAAAAGGAGTGTATTCCTCTACAAGAAATATAATGAACGTATAAGTCTCCAGTTAACTTGACAAATGAAAGAATACTTGTAAACGTTACACAGATTACATTTATTTATCGTTTTAAAACACTAAAATAATGAGAAGTGTGTAGCCTATCATTATCATTACTTATTGTTACAAGAAACATAGAGTGGAGCGAACAATGGAAAAATAAGTCAATGGAACACCTTTAAATTGCTGTAAATCTACAAAATCAGCCTAGTATGCATGGATTCAAATAATAATAACATCAACGTAAAATTAGATTATGATCACAGAGTCGCTCTTACTCTATTTATAACTTGTATTATTTTAAGTCGGCACAAACTTAAGACGGAGATTATCTGAAAAATGTGATGTATTTGCGCTATACATTTCGAACAATCTGATCACACATTTACATGTCAAGTCGATATATATGACAAAAGTTTAAGGGCAATTAAATTACGATAAAGAAAGGAAGACGAAATTTGCAGTATAAAATGATATCATTCTATTTCACAGGTTCTCATCAGCTGCAGACTACCAGAAATTACAATGGTTATATAAATGATAACATACTTTAATGTTTGAGTAGTAGTAGAGAAGAGGAGAGATAAATTTGACGCATCCAAAAAAGAATGAAAGCATTACAATTTTTAGTTTAAGTTATCATCATCAATTTATACACTTTCAGAGTTGAAAAGAGGGGGGAGGGGTAAGACAGAAAACAGAAAAATTGATTAACAGGAACAGTGTTAGCTTGTAGGTTCACATGGCAACTCCAAAAAACAAAAGCATTTACAGTTTATAAGATTGAGATTTGCTCAGTGAGTTGAGATCACTGAATTAGATGACTCATCAAAATCAAAATTCAGTTACCAAGGCAGTGAGAGGTTAATCACACTCTCTTTCTGTATGCATAAGTCTGGTTTAAATCGTTTGATTGCGATCGCTTCGGCAAATCGTAGTAAATTTGCTGTCCTTTGTCAGCTTTGGCTTAAGTTTATGAATAGCTTTAGCCTCAGCGTATTTCAATAAGCGCCCTTCACCATATTTATAGATGACCTTAAGGGCTGAGTTAACATCAATCTTATGGTTCATCTCGATTAGATGTCGAGCTATAGACGAAGTTGGTAGTCTGACACCTGCGTCTATTGGTTTTCCACAATTCATTTGTTTTCCTAACCATTTCGGGATATGCTCCCACATCCAAAGCACGACTACTCCTCCCTATGTATGTGTGTCCACACACACACACACACGAAAATTGGTAAATAGTGTGGGATGTGACATAATCACTTGTGCACTTTTGAAGTTTCCTGTGGAGCATATTTTTAGCTTTTACGATAATTACAAGCTGGGCTGCATAATAGGTTCTGCAGATGACCGAATTCAACCTTTGTCTCAAAATCCTACTGTTTATTTCCCCGTTATATGGTAATTTGATGTAAACATTTTTCTTAGGGGCGGGATAGATTGTAGGTTTAAAGACGTTGAGGCTATAGCTATTCATAAACTTAAGTCCCCCACCCCCTGTGTATTCAAAAACAGTTTATTATTACTCTTAACCTACCTTGGTAATCCTTATTTGATTGGATTACCAAATGTTGTGTTAATCATTCTTAAATCCTTTTCTCTTGTCACATTGTTTAATTTAATTGCCCTTAAATTTTTGTCATATATATCGACTTGACAAGTAAATGTGTGATCAGATTGTTCGAAATGTATAGCGCAAATACATCACATTTTTCAGATAATCTCCGTCTTCTAATAACATTATCCAAATATATAAAAGGGACTAATTGTTTTAAACAAACTTATGAGCCATAAAAAAACAGTTGATATTTCACTATGTATTTACGCAATCTTAGTTTTTCTACTGTCTAATGAATGTAATCAGGAATCGCAATATTATTTAAGTCCCAATAATGTAATATTACTTAAGGAAAACTGTCTCTGTTATTCCATTTCCCCGTACTGATTAACTTACCATATATAAGATTGGTCAATTCTTTCTTTTTATAAAGTTCCAAATTCGGGAAGAAAGCTATCCCTCCAGACGCCAGTTCTATGGTTCCACCTTAACATAATTTAAAATTGAATTTAGGCAATTAGTTTCATCGAACTTGTATGATTAGATACAAAAGTCTAAAGTGAATGTTCAGATATCAATGGAATATTTTTTAGCCGTAACTTTCAACTTAACTAGCTAAAACTCGTAGTAATAAAGCTCTGATATTTTTTTATTGTTGGATAGCCATACTCAGTCATTCATTTGAGAAGTTCATTTGTTTTTCTAAGTCGATATTCATGTTTTAACAATGTGGCATGCAACTGTTTTCATTTGAAATTTGTGCGGTTATTTTAATTTGTGATAAATGAATGGATTTGTCTAAGTAAGGTAAATGGATGTGCATAACTGACAGCTTAGAGTCAGTTCATGTGTAAGAAGAAAAGATTGTATTTAAAGTGCCACTGAAATATTTATCTAAACTTAACATAATGAACATGTGCTGTTCGTCTAACACAGACTTTCAGTATTTAAAGAAAGGAACATATATGATGGTGAACGAAGATATTGAATTTTACTTGATTTTCAAGAGTTGGTTTATAAGGATTAGATTTGTTTTTCGAGTTTGACCGCGGATTGATATCATTTACAGAACCACTGAAAACCAGGAAGTACTGGACAGTTGCTTCATCGTAGTTTGGGAATTATCGGCAGTACGCACCCACTGGGGTTCGAACCCATGACCTTCCACTGACAAGGCAAGCTCGTATACCATTCAGCCACTGGGACCCAATTCAATTGCCAGCCCATTAATTCTAACTTCTACCAACTCGTGATTTTAGCGCAACCACCAGCCAATATTATTAGATCATTAGCAGAATTTATTTTCCAATTTTTAAAACTATTTTTCAGTCAATAAATATTTGTTGATGAAGAATTCATGATATTATATTTGCCTACTTATTTGTCGAAAAGGTGGTTTAATATCCTGTTATACTTCCTGGAGGAACTGGTTTTTGCAAGTCAAAGTTTCACTGAGCAAGACAATCGTGTCACTAACTATAATCATACTAATAGCACACATTGAATTATCCAGTCCTAATTTTATAGTGGTTTTACTAATATCCACATTCAAGTACTGCTATATAATTTATTAATTTCAAAGTAAGTGTGGAACATGACCGAAGATTAATAGTTACTGGTATTCCTTAGTATTTTGAATAAAATCCAAGTTCGCCTTACTTGATGTATTTCTCTACAACTATATCATGTTTGACTGAAATATACACAAGGTTTCGTGTATTATATCAGGGACATTTGTTCTAGCCAACATTTGTAATGTATTTCACACTTCCAGTCACTTATTAGAGTTTACCTGTTCAGTGTGGGCATTATTGTAAAAGTAGCCTAGGATCCTCCATCAGATGGTAGTTTAATTTTCTTTTTAATGTCAGGATATTTATAGGTATTTTTAATATAACCGGTAACCAGATTTGTTATCAAGTTTTAGGATATCTTTTTGCCTCAAACTTACCAACAAAGTCTGTAAAGTCACTTTATTGAATAATGTACGCGGAGATGCAGTGTTATTTGCATTTCTTTTAAAATGTGCTCTGTATTCATTAATCCAAGTGGTAAAAAATATCCCCAAGTTGGTTTTGTGTGTTGAATGTTGATTATATTGACAAAGATTCACTAATCAGTTTCTATCTTACTCTGTTCTACTTCTACTTTATTGTCACTACATGCAGAGCAATAGCGAAGTTTTTTTCTAGGATAATTATCTTATTAGTGGCGGTTATTTTTCAATAAGATAACTTATTCGTATCAGCTTGTTTGACTTCGTAATCCTCATTCAATATATATCTTACTTTGTCAAATCGTTTCAGCTTGCGTTTGAGTGAATTTGCATGTCTAAATTATTATTATTGTTCCCTTGGGTTCCTAGTGGAACATAGGGCTTCAGCTGCACGCCTCCACTTGTTTCTGTCTTCTGCTGTACTTTTCACCTGCATCCATGTTAGTCCATACTGTTTCAACTCCTCTTCACACGATCTCCTCCATGTCACCCTCGAAGTGACGTCCCACTCACAGCTTCTCTTTCGGGTTCCACTCGAGCACTGGCCTGACGCGCGATGTCACCCAACAGGCTCCTCAGCGAGTGTCCAATCCGTCTCCACTTTCTCCTGCATATTTGTTGAGCGATTGGTTCTTGTTTTGTTTCTTCCCATAGTTTCTTGTTGGTGATTGTTTCCGGCCATCTTATCTTCAGTATAGAACGAAGACAGTTGTTGATAAATGTTTGCAACCTGTTGGAAATATTCTTTGTGACACACTGGCCAAGTTTCTGAACCGTATAGAGGAACTGACTTGACGTTTGTATTGAAAATCCGAATTTTGTTGTTGATGCAGGCTGAGTGACGAAGATTTCCAGATTGGTTTCAGGTTGATGAATGTGTTTCTCGCCTTCCCGATTCTCGATTTGACATCCTTGTCCGTTCCTCCTGTAGTTGAGACAATGCTCCCCAGATAAGTGAATGAAGTAACCTCTTTCAAATCCCTCCCGTTGATGGTGATTGGCGCTGGATGTTGCTGCTGTTGTTGTTGGTTGGTTGGTTATTTTCATAACCTCCGTCTTGTCTATGTTCCCCTGGAGTCCTGTCTTTGCTGCTTCTTCGACCAGTTTGTCGGTTTTCGCTTGTAAGTCTTCGATTTTGTGTGACATCAAACATAAATCATCCACGCGCGAAATCCAGGTCTTCTAGGTTCTTCACGTCGGTCCAGGATATCCCTGTCTTCTCGTTTCCCACTGTCTGACGCATAATCCAGTCCACGACAATTAGGAATATCATTGGTGATAATAAGCACCCTTGTCTGACTCCTGTGTTTACTCCAACCGCCTGGCTGAGTTTTCCGTTGTGGATCACTTGACATGTGCCGTTGTCGTACAGTTGTTGAATAAGGTTGATGAATATTTGGGGTACGCCGTAGTACTTGAGTAGTTTCCAAATTACTTCGCGGTCAACGCTGTCGAAGGCCTTGTAGCGTGTCGAAATGTCATTTTAATTTAGGCCTTGGAAAAAAGTATCCGATGTAGTAGTTTTGCCGTCATTTACTTGTATGGGACCAGCTTAGGAACTTTGAATTCTTTCTTCACGATAACTATTTACATTACTACCATTGTTACCTTTTTGTCCTTGTAAGCTCCTTTGAATAAATTTTCGAGAAAAAACGTTGAATAGTGTCTTTTTGATACGTTTCATTTAGCTGTTCAGTCGTTTAGTTTAGTGCGTAATACTAATAATCTTAATACGGATATGTATATCTGTCAAGTCCCTAGGGTTGTTTTAAGAAACTCACAGTATGTAATTTGTTTAAATATTTATTGACTAAATCAAGTCATATTTAAAACTTAAAATTCAGGACCAACCAACTCTTGCAAGTTTAAACTAAAATTCGATTTTCTGTTAACAGAGAAGAACGAAGAAATCTACAAACCCTCTATACCAGTACACCAATCAATATGTGTTTCGGAGATATCAGAAACGAGTTCAACATTGACTTAGAGCTCATTGAAAGGTTAGTAACATACTGTTCAAGAAGAGACGAAATTTTATAATACCTGTAGTGGCCAGTAAACACTTAGAAATAAAAACATTCAACGATTATTAAATTCTCCTTTGTTTTATAACATGACTAACTTTATTTGGCAAATGAATAAAATTCGACTTCCTTAAATTTGGCCTTGTAGACTACAGACTTGGAAGAAAATAAGTCAAAGAGTTTAAGTGACATTAACATCATTGTTTACGTGGGAAATGTTGTAACTGTGTGTGTAACTTCATAAGTTATATATTATTACTGATAAGTTCAAGCTAGACACTTACACATAACTATGTTCTCAGCATTTGAACATGTCTTGTCTAATTCTATGGTTTTGGTTCGAAGAGTATTTTTCTGCTGCGCTGTCTTTTTTAGACATTTCAAGTTAGGTTTCTTAGATCCGGTTGAGTCCATTTCTAAAGATGTTGGTAGTAAGCTTCCACTAGATTTGTGTTCACAAAAAGGTTTGGCATATTGTCCTGCAGCTCTTAGTATTTTATTTGATATACTATCACCCAAGGATCCTAACAGAAGTAGAGCTGGAGGCCTAGATGAACTCCGTGAGAATGAAGTTCCTTCGTTGCTCTACACAAAAAAGAAAAACATTGAAAGGACATGATATATATATGTATACATATGTACAACGGTTCGATCAATGAAAGATATACCTTTGCTTCCGTGTCTTGCCTTCTGTTGTTACACTACTAAATCCAAAACATATTAAATTTCAGAAAGTGTACAAGAATTAATTATGCTTAAATATATAAATGAACTCACTGGCTCTGTAAATTCATTCTGGGTTAGAAGTAAAAGTAGCAACCATTTTAGCAAGAAAAAGGTGCCCGGTTTGGTGATATTGTCTGAAGTATAGTGAATAACATATTGGACACAAAATATATCCTACCTAAAAACATGAATGCAAATGTAAACGCAATCCCGAATTCGTAGGCAGGAACATCTGAAAGGTAAATTTGAATGCCAAAAAAATTTATTATAAAAATATGGAAATCAGTAAACCATTTTCATAGCATTACTAGAAAAGACGGATCATACATGAAATGTAAAAAGGACGTCATAAAAGGTAAAAAACACTAATGAATTCGGTATCTTCATCAAGTGTCGTCATCTTAAGGTTGCGCAGAAATTATATGTGAATGAATAATAAGTAGAGTGTTTAGCATTATCTTACTTTACACAAAAGTGTTATGGATTTTCTCCAGTATGCATCTATAAACACTCATCTATGTACGCATGATCTTCATTTCAAGAATGAGTCAGTTTAAGCGTCATTAACGTGTTTAGCCACGTCGTATGTTGCAGACACAGATTATAGAAGGTTGTTTTTCATATCCGATATTTGGAAGTGAAGTTTGGCCGACCCTAATATCACTTTAAATTCAACCACTTCTATTGCATGTTTAAATTAAGACAAGTCAATCGCAATAACATAGAAACGACCAGTGGAGTTCATTTAACGTTCAAACGAGACAACGTGCGAATAGTTCACTGAAGTATTCAGAAGAGAAAAGTCTTATAAAATTAAATCTGTTGGAATGTAACAAACCTTTCACAAATATGAAGATAGGAGAACTATGTATAATGGATTACAATAGAAATATAATCAGTAATAACTACCGAAAATAGACCAATACGACTCAGATAACTGACACATTTGTCCCGCTTAAAAGCTGAAGAGTGTAATGTCATTCACTCATCTCAAAACAAGATCGATAATTCCATTATTGTACTTCCGGTTTACTTATATTTCAACAATAGAATTGCTCTGTACTATAATGTAGGATTATTTGTGCCACTGGCGTCGGTGGCATAGCGGTTAGGACGCTCGCCGACCACGCACATGGTCCGGGGTTCGATCCCCGGCTGACCCACTCCTTTACCTCGCTAAGCCAGAAATAATGCTGGTGAAGAGGAAAGGTTGGGCGTGAGGCTAGCAACCCCATCCTGTAAAATAAACACTGCTACAGAAACTTCAAGCCACTAGCTTGAAGCCCTATGTTCCACTAGGAACGTGAAGGAAAAAAAATTTGTGCCACTATATAGTTCCCTTTCTGCAATATATTCTATATTTGTAAAAGAAATATGCGGTTAATAATTGCGTTACATTTTTACAGCTATTTTGAAAACACTATCATATCTATTCGATCATATACTGAGAGAAATGAAAGAGTCACTCGATCATTTTGGGAGGATAGTCTTTAGAAAGTGATAAATCGGACGTACTATGTTGGTAGGTTCACAACAAACAATACTCATTATTTGGTCAATAGTCATCTTAACACAATCAGTAAGATCTTACTTCAGCGATTATGTTAAGTTATATTGTGGTGTTGTGATACAGACAATATGTTCCAACGGAATATTATTCTCACAGTTCAATACGGCACTAGCAACAGAATACTATATATCTATTTGAACATTCCGTTTGATGTTAGAGACAGAATGCATTTCACACGGTTATATACTGCATTGACAGAAGAATACTATGTACATTTGATCATTCTGTTTCATGTCGTTTGATGTAAACCGAAATCACATGCTCAGTGATCGGTTAGAGAATATAAACTATGTATAAACATCGATTTGATAACTTTGAAAATATACCTTGGCTTCCGTGTCTTGCCTTCTGCTGTTACAATATGATTCATTTTGTTTTGCAGTTACTTAATTTAGCTGCTGAAAGTGAAGTATGTTAATAAGGTGTATTTATTTGATAATCTGACATCTAGAATGAAGTTATCGAAGCCTAAGTAGAACTTTGGGTTGTGGATAAAGAACATAAAATTTCATGAGATTATGAGGTTTGAATAACTGATTCTATTTCACTGAATTATGTATGGTAGGAAGCTCTATTAATAGATATACTGCCAAACCACGAAAACATTGACCACTGATCTTAGTCATATGATAAATTATAAGCTTAATGAATTAAATTATGACCTGAAATAGGAACCGTAGATCACATTACTCATAGTTGGTTATTTAGTACCCTTTTTTCTGTATCATACTTAAAGGTTGTACATTCGTGTATTTATATCAAATGGATGGGAAAGTTCCAGAATAATTTCTGGTTAGGGGTCAAATTAATAAAAATTACAATTAGGAATTAGAATGCCATAGTACATCGGCCGTACCATGCGCCGACTTGAAAAACGCGCTCGTGAACACTACCCAGCCTGGCTAGTAAAAGGAGACCAAAAACGTGTATACAGTTCAGTGACAGAACATCTGGTCAACTCAGGACATTCAGCGCCTTTCGAAAAATCCTTCAAAGTAATATACAAGATTCGATCAAACCTATCAAAGGGAGTGAAATTAAGAAATCTGGGCATAGCTGAGGCACTAGCCATCTAAAAGCTCACACCCACGCTATGTATCCAAAATAAATACTTCCAACCATTGTTCCTTCCATGGACATCATAAACAGGTAATTCTTTTAGTAATGACCATCCCATCACCTTTCTTATCTAAACTTCCTGTTTATTCATGTTATTTTAAGTTTTCTTAATCCCTGTCTACACTACCATATTGTCATATCCACACTTCCTGTTTATTTTGTCATTTTATTATTTCTACATATTTAATCCCTGATTGCATAAACAATTATTCATCACACTAGTTTCTTATCCAAACATCCTGTATATTTTGTTATTTTTACATTTCTAACCCCTAATTGCACAATGTCAATCTTCTTAGTTATTATGCTACTTTGTTTGAGTTTTACCCATCCCCCTGTTTATTATGGCATTCTAATAGTTAAAAGTGTTAAAACTTGAATCGTTACAGAAGGTTCTATGTTTTCCTAACCAATCGGTTGTTTACGAACTAAATGGGTATTTTATAGCAACTATCAAGAGGTTAATATACGATTAAATGTTTTGAGATAAGCAGTTGGTGTTAACATACAGTTAAGAAGAAACTTTTTAAGTCGTTTAGGAAGATAAATAATTAACAAATTTTCTCCATATACTTACAACTAGGTAAACTTTTGACAACTGTACTCAATGCACATTTCCATGGGTCTATAGGATTCACTGTAATGTCTACAATACCGTAAACCTGCAAATCAATGTCATTAGCTTTAATTTATATTTTGAAACTTACTTTAAACTGCCACTGATACGATTGACCAGCTTTGTTTAGAAATGGAACACCCGAAACAAAGCATCTCCTTCCAAACGAGAGTTTGTGAATCAATTTACCTGAAATGTTACACAACTTTGATTTCATTGCAGAATTTTTGCGAGATAATGTAGACACATGTTAATTAGGAATTCATTCAGTGCGAATAAGTTTTATTTTAGAAAAATTTTGTTGGGCCAGTTATAGTTGACGTACGATTACTTTATCAAAAACTAGAGTGCTTTCATCGTTGTGGTAAAGATAGATGTATTCTATAAGCAACTTTGCTGTTACCCACGCTTACGTTAACAAGCATCTTAAACTTATCATTTCCTTTCTCAGTGACTCAACTGTTACAACCTAATCCCGCCCGATAACTGTTATACCGGTGTAGTGGTCGGATGTTCAGTTACAACGACCCGATGAGCTCTAATTACTGGAGCGAATGTTGCTATAGATTCTAACATCCCAGAAAGCTCAGATTCTAATGGATAGTCGTATATGCTATTTTTCGGGATGAAACGAAGCAACAGTGCCGAGTGGAATGACTACAGGAATGCTCATGTGTTGTGGTGATCAATTATAGGTTAAGTTAACTAAGTTACTACCAGTTGTGGCTCACCTGGATAGATATAGTTCGTTGGTCGTCCGTGTTTATAATAAAAGACATAAATGTGTCTGTGACAATCTTATGGAGATCAGACTGAATAACACAGTATATAAGATTCTAGATTCCATATGCCTACGAAGAACGCTTATGAAAATCACGTAGGTGCAAAGATTGAAGAAAGGTGCAATAATTGGTTCCTTGCCTTCCGCAGGGTTTGGAAAAGCATACAGAATTACTGGTGTCCATCACTTAGCATGTTTCTCTACCTGAAGGTGGTATTTGACTTCATCGAACGAGAGATGCTCTGGCAATGTATATTTGTGGAAGAAGTATCGAGAAAGTATATTGTACTAATCAGTTGACTCTACTCGAACTCATCTAAATTGGAGGCAACTGGTGTTGTAAGTCAGGTATGCACAATGACACTACTTTCACTCAATTCAGCTATGGATTTCCTCATGGAGCTAAACTAGCCGACATTTACGTCTCAAGAACTGAACTGTTACTTCGGTAAAGTTCAACTGATGTAGAGTAATCCAATATAGTTCTAGATGAAGATAACAAGAAATAGAAACCTTTGAACACATTCAGTTAAAATCTTAGCAAGGTCGGCATGATGCGGCAAAAGTGACATGGAGAGAGTCCTAATTGAAGTAGAGCTGAAATGATTCAGTGTGTGTTGATCCCTTCACTTACTTGGGAATATTGACCAGTCATCATGTACTGATTATTGACAAAATCTCATCGTGGATAAAGAAAACTCATATAGCATTTGCCAACTTGCGTCACCATTGTCGTATGCGTGATATCTAGCTATCTATCAGAGGACATATGTACTACACGGCAGTTTGCTGTATCCTTTTTCATGTCTGTGCAACTTGGTTTTTGCTGGTGTAACATATAAACAGACCACTTCGTGTTGCCTGGTGTAATATGATCAGCATTAATGAGGCTGAACGTTCAGCCCTAGGCAAGAAGGGAAGTCAGTCAATTAATTTTAGAAACTCCAATCGCATTCTTGCCCGATCAATGTTAGCTGTCATAGGATTGGGTTTGAAAAGAATTATGACGGGGGGTCAGATGAAAGCATGACAACAGCCCATGAAGTCTTTGACTGCTGGTTTCAACTTTGTAAGAAGGAGTAGGTTGCTTGACTGGGTTCCTTGGGATGATAAAAATCAATCGTTGGTGATGTGGCTATAAACTGTCTACACTGGTGCCGATGAATACAACCCTTATAATTTCTCATACTTTTTAAATTCTCTATTAATCGTTCTCTAATTGTCTTCTCTTCTATACAACCTCGTTCATCGTAGTTTTATTTTGATCCTTTTATCCCTCTTTGTTTCTGTTTTCGTAAAGTTTGTTGGATTGAACTATTGTACATTTGTGAAAATTTTTATACTGGTAATTCAGCCGGTTACTCAACCTACTTTAATGAGCGGTAGCTTGTCATTTCTTAGCTGTTTTAGTCGGTAAAGATGTACCATCAAGTAATTAATCTTCCTCTTTTAAAATCTATGTCCATTTTTAAAATGGTATACCATCTGCATTCATCTAACAGGAGCAACATTACAAAGATGCATTTTGTTAAAACTTATAATATCTTCGTATCTTTTAATTCAGAAGCTATGTGTCGCAGCTGAAAAATATGACAGGAGGATTCTCTCGACAGTTTTGTAGATATCCGTATAAACAGCAGGAAATCAAGATAATAAACGTTGACGAACTTCAAACGAATTTCTGTATTCATGCTGGGATTGTGTCGGCAACCATCCTATCTGGGATCATACACCTCCTAGATAGGTGGTCAAAAGAAGCAAATCTCTTCTTTAATGCAGACTATCCATGTATCAATCTCTTACAGCTGATAAAACAAACTACCCGCTAAATATAAAAGAATTCTTCTCAGGGGATTGATAATAATGCAACTGTCATCTCGTATAGAAAAGGACCATGTCGTTTACTTAGTTCAAGTTATCAGGTCTTTCCATGAGCTAATACCATAGAAATAAAAAAGGTATCTGGCTCACTTACCATGCACAAAGCACCTGATGCTTCTTTTGATTCTGAATCGATCTAGAATGGTCCCTGTTTCTTTGTCCTGTCTTGGAAGTAAGAGAAATTCTACCGTTTCTAAAAAAATAGATTGTTAATTATTGGTGTATACACTGATAGACAGAATTCTCATAATAACTTAATATTAAGAAATTAATGTGACTCAAGACTATTAGAACTAACCTGGCTTTGTATTTTTGATATATTTCCCGGTGACTAGCCTGGTCAGTTTTGAATGCTTCATGTGTCACACAGATTAAAACATTTTTATTCCTGTTGTTTCAAATACATTTACACTTTTTAATCTTCCATAACCACTAAACTGTCACGTTTTTCGGTTCACATATTTCTGCTCCTTATAGTTTACCTTTTGTGCTACATGGAGTGTGGCAATTTGAACTGCTGAACTTTTGTGCTAAGTTCTATGTTGAAACTCAGTCATTCAGTTTTGGATAAAAAGTCGAATCGAATAAAGGTATACAAATTTAGACAGGTTATTAACGTGTTTATTTTTAATCGTATCTTATATCTTAAATTGGGTTTTCAATGGTATAATCAGCAAAATTAATTGCAAGTCATCACAAGAAGAGTCTGAAGATATCTTCAAAGAATTGAAAATTACTCTTTGCAACAAACAACTTACTAAGAAAAGTGAAGCCAACTGGAAGATATGAATTAGTATTTGTAAAATGATTGGCTGCATACTGCTAGGAAGATAACAATTTTTGTCATCGAACAGATTATGACTGCCTCTTTCAGGATTTAGAAATTTAGTGGTTTTAGAAGCAAATCCTAGTAAGCCTTATGAAAGTGGTATTACGATTTTTCTTCAACATCTGTTGCACAGTGCGTACATGGATATAAACAACCAGAAAATTGCAATCAACACTCAGACATCCACTCTAGCTAATCTGTTTTTAATAATCTTAGCTGAGTATTTAAAAGTAAGCTGAAGTTTCCTATAAAACCTCAGACAAATGCATAAAGAATCGGGTTTCTCAAAATAATCGGAGCAGTTGTCCTAACTCAACTGTCATATATGTTTGTATTCATATACATTATCTTACTCTATCTTTGGGTTAAACCCAGCGAAATCTTGTTTCCTAAGGCTGCTCACACACACATTTATGGAGATTAGAACGAAGAAATTTCAGCTGTGTGGACTGATCCCGTTATCTTTATTTTGTCAACTTGAATCCTCTCCTTAATTGATGCATTATCAGACAACTACCTCATAGTAGCCAATGTTACGTCTGCATGTAATTTCCACGTAACCTTTATACCACTTTCATAATTTCTCCAAAAGCCCCGATAAACTTGGCTAAATGTTGCTGTCAAACTTAACATTTGTGGTGTAAATGAAAGCATATTTAACAATCTGGACAAATATTGAATACGCAATAAGGGCACCTGAAAACAAGTACCTGCAGTCGGTCTCAGCCTCAACGAAGGAGTAAAGTGGAAACTAAATCAGCACCACTCAAGTGGTACCTGGGTAGCTTCTGTCTATAGACAGGAAAATTTCACATAAGGTTTCTGTATTACTTTAGGAACTGTTATGTTTTCTTAGACAGAGCTGATATATAACGCTTAGTATGCCAAGCAGAAGTAAGTTGGTTGTTATGCTTTTATTCTCCAGTCGGAAGTTGGCTGTGACACGGGGTCAAAAGATGAAGTACTTCCTTGAGCTGACCAGTAAATCCTCCATTTTGCCTGTGTGCTTATCTTTTTAAAGGATGTTTTCGGGGGATCAGGTACTGATACAAAGCATAATTATAGGCGGACTTTTCAGTTGTATATTAACAGAAAAAATAAGCATATGATAAAATGGTCTGTAGATCAAATGAATATATTTGAAAACAAGAAAACACTTATTCAACCTTGTGAAACTATTTTTTCACTTTACTGATTACCGCAAAAAGTAGCCAAAAGTTTCAAATTACCTGAGAATGATCTCTTTTCTATTTCTTCTTTCCCTTCTTTGTTGCAAAATTTACACCGAAGTCTAGATTTACGTGAGGGAAACTAAAATTCTTACTTTTTTCTAACTTTCGGTATGCAAGTTTCTTGTTGAACGAGGAAAGCATTTTTTCCTGGACATAAACTGTCCTGACATGAATATATGACCGCATTAGTGGTCATATAAATTGGTGTTATTCCTATAACAACTCCTTCGATGAAAGTCAGGCGGTCAAATGTAAATGATACGTTTTTAAAATGTAATCTTTGTAAAAATATTAAAAGGTGCCATTTACTCAGGAATGCATAATATGTCGGTGAATGTTAATTCAAGGAGAATACAGTTCATATCGTCATCTTCACAAAGTATGTCAGCTTCAATTCCGAGGCAAAATATTATCTAAAGAACAGTAAAAAAGCAAGAAGTAACACCTACAAAAGTAGGAGAACAAAAGACACGTAGTTTTACAGTCTAAAGGCTATCACGTTAAATAAATTACAGCGATGTCAATGAAAATTACAACTTACTTTTATTATAACATATCAACAGAAGCAAATCTACTATTCAACAGCTTAATGATGTGGAACGACGATCCTTTTAAGTGTTTCAGAAGACAAAAATACTTGGGCAGCGAAATAATAATACAACGCTTGGAGAATGCGGCAGAAGCAGAATGCGTCTTCTCACAACCACTCCAGTTTTACTTTTGAGAATCAAGGATAAACCACCTGACTTTTCCACTTCTATGTGTATTTATCATTCTGATTTTTGCTGTGGAGCCAGTTACATTGGGCACACTGTTTGGTACGTTCGTTATTGAATTTCTGAACGCCATCCTGCGTGATTAGGGAAGGAACAAACTAAGTCTATTTGCAGCTCTGTTTTAGTCCACCTCATGGATACTGAACACGAAGTCTAGGAAATTCGAAGTTATCTGCGCCATTCTGATTAATCTTTATTTCTTCTTAAGATTTCTTATTTTACATATACCTGACGCCGTTATAAACCATCCGAAGAACCCTAAATTGAGTGTTCGGATACTCTACCCAACTTGAACATCTTTACTTGATTTTAAAAATCTGACAATTACCCTTTATCTCTAAGCCTATTACAAATTGTTATTATTTAAATTGTTCTTAATTGTAGTATGGATTTTCTTAATTTTGCTCAATATTCAATTTAGTATTACATTTTTATGCACCTGATCTTTTGCACATACTGTTTTTCTTGTAGTCCTGACGACTCGATATTATTTAAAAAACAACACAGTTTCCAGTAAAAAAATTTTTACGTGTGTACATACGACTGCAGAAAAAACGAGGAATATTCTTTATTGCCCTCTAAATGTTTGAGTGATGAATTTCAAATGATTGAGTTGTCCAGTTATATTGGAATTAATCTTTAGTCAGAGTTATTTTCTCGTTCTTACTTAATTAGTGATGGAAATGAAAACCTCTAATATTCCAAAAAGCATAATCGAAAGTCACCAATGAAAACATAGTCAGGAAATTACATCTCCTTATTCCAATCAGACATGTGAAATTTTGTGCCCTCATACAGGACGAACGGAAGAAACGGTTTTGCATGCAAACAGCCGACTACGTATAACTTTTGGACGTTGACATGAAACAAATTCCCCCAAAAAGTGTGCTTTAATAGTGCACTGGTACACCACCAGCCTGAGATAAACCTAAGTAAACTGTAATTTGTAGGGTGAGTGGCTTCTGAAATAGTCAACGTGCTTCGCACACCCTCACTGATATTTTGCCCCTTTTCTAGCAATAACAGTATTTTTTCCAGCATAATATTCTACTAAAACGCTTTTAGCTTCGTTTGCAAGGCCACGCGTTATAACAGTTATATGATTTAAGTTATCCACTAAGCAGAACACATAGGAAAACAGTTCTATCATATTTATTCAGAGTCGATATATTAGAAGTTACCGTGGCAAATATTTGTAACTGCAGTGATTCGACAATTATTAAACAGTAAAAAATTAAACTAACCTTCTGAAGCATTTTTTCAAGAATGGAGATACGGTTGATTATTTCAATCACAGAAGATCCTGAGAAAATACGTTTAATCATAACATTCTATACACAATACCTAGAAACTCCGCCAATTCATGAAGACGAAGATGTATAGGCACAATTGATACAGGACGTCTCTAAAAGAATTATGAATGATAATAACTTTTTACATTACCTTTTCACATAATGTTTTTATTAGACGGCTTTTAACTCGTGATAGAAATGAATCACGTTCTAAATACCTAATAACAGAAGAATACAACGAGAACGTATCCATTATTTAAGTAGTGCGCGCCACCATTTATGAAAACAAAAGTGGGTGGTTCCAGTATCAGTTCCAATTTTATTAAATATTATTGACAAAAAACATTTCCAAGTGAAATTTAAACAGAAGGTGATGTTTAAGTCAAGCTCTTTTACAAGGTAGGGTAGACTAAATTGGTTTCTTTGTGCTCGCTCCTTGGCTGTAAGTTAAAGATCCCTGGTCTTTGGCAAACGCCTGCGTAGTTCGTCAAGCCACCCAAATGCCGTGGCTTCGGTCGATTCCAAAATGAGTGGTGCTAGGGCTAATTACATGCAGTGTGTGTTAAGGCCGCGTTGCTGCTGTGAGTGGAATTGATCCTTTCACCCGTTAGTCGTCTGGTGTGGTCGAAAAAGGAGAAAACAATAATAATATTCGCAATTAGTATAGGTTAAGTAGACTATAAAAAAATGGAGCCTAATTCATTGATAAGACTCAGATTCATAATCATCAACCAGGCGTGCCACCTGGCTAGTTGGTTTTCTCTCCAACATTATTCAGTGCAGGCTTTTGGGATTCGCAAGTAGATTTTCGTTAAGGTTTGACTGAAATGACCTCCTGTTACTCCTGACTGTTGCGTTTCTTTGGTTCCTGAGTTCGAGGTATGCATTGTGGGCAATTGAACTCTTGAAGATTCACCACGTAGACCAAGTCTTTCGCTTTGCTTTAAGAATACGTTGTGTACCTCTCTTCAGCCATGAGGTACTTTTCTTCGGCTGTGTTGTGACTAAATGGACGGTATCCGAGATTGCTGTGTGAATAATCTCTTTTATCAGTCCCTAGTGCTCGCGCTCCATGCTGAAGTTCAATTGGCCTAGAAGGAATTGATAACAGGAAGATCCGGCAACAAACCAACCAAGAGCCGATTGCTCAACAAATTTATAGGAAAAAACGGGAATGGATCGGGAACACACTGAGGAAACCAGCGAATGATATCGCACACCAGACCATTATTTGGGTAGAATCCGAATGAGAACTGACGAATGGGTTACCAGTGCGTAGGTGACATGAAGGAAATCGTGTGATGAGGAGATGAGGGATTATGGTCAATCGTGGACCCAGGTGAAGAGGACATCAGAAAATAGAGCAGACTGCAGTTGTGTTACTGAAGCCCCACGCTCCACTCGCAGCCCAAGGAAATAATAAGTAATATTGTGGTGAGAGCTGTTTACTAGCCAAATTGGTAGACAGTAATTTACGTCAATATTTACGTTCCAAAGATTTGTCGTGAGAAAATGTGAACAAAGATTGATTCAAAACCTATCACAGCAGACTTTGTGTGGGCGGATGCAGTTAACATACAGAGGATTTGACATTCAAGAAACAGTCACAAATAGATGAAAGATTAACTTTACGTGAGAAACAACCAATCGGAAGACTGTGTTTGTTTGCTTAAATATCCATAGTAATGTACATGAAAATATGCGTTGATTTCCTTAATAAATGATCTGTTGCCTGACTCTTGCCTTCTGTTGTTACAATATTAGTATTGTGTTCGTCCATGGATAACTCTGCCAAATCATTAGGCTACTGTGCCTCGGACGAAAACTTTCGCATCGCGGCATAACCAGGTTCGCTACAGAACAGACATGTTCGCGTAGCGTCCCAGAGTTAGCGCACACAAAGAAGGTGAAACCCTATAACTGCTTGGTCGCTTCCCCATAGGAGGGTCATGATCCGGACATTTTCGACTAGTAACTGATCACTAGTTAGGATGTAATCCAGTTTCGATGACTTTCCACTAGAGCCTCACCTAGTGTCATCTCCAGCACTCGCAGCCAGTCATGCATTTCTAATGGTTTGTAAAAGGATTTGCCGTCCAACTTTATCCTTGGTCTCACACCACTGTTGAAGCACTTGGGTCAAGTGATCTTCGGAGCTGAATTTGAAACCTAGTAGCCTTGGTAGGCTAATCAACGCAAGATGAGCGGGACGAGGAAGTCAACAAGTCGAGGTTTGCCCAGGGGCACTAAGGGCCACCAAATATGACAGACATCCCCACTGATGTGCGTTTTGCGTGTTTTTCACAAGCAGTGCTAGTTTCCAGCTCCTGAAACCATGTATTTAACATGAAGGTAATAATAATTTGCTTTATTCTGAAACAGTGCTTGTGATACAGAATGGAATTCTCAGCATTTTTACTACAGTATTGCATCCAGTTAGTACATTATCAATAAATAGAATTCAATATAGATTAAGGAAATCTCAGTTCATTATGACAACAACACATTGGCATGTCGGTAGCAAAGGTAAAGCTGAACAGTGTTTGAAGGTGTTAGAGAAGTAGGAGCTGTGATATTTACTGGCGTAAGCAAGAGAAAGAAACAAAGCAGCACATAACGGAAGAAAACAGAGAGAGAAAAGGAAAAGAAAGAAACAAAACGTTGTAACTATAAATGATATGAGTTGGAAAGACGAGGTCCAGTTGTACTACTGACTATTTAATGAATTATAGGTGTCACGCCTAATGCTTTCTTTATCACACAGAACACGAGCTAAGTAGGGTATGGTTGAGTTTTTGTACTTGCTGGTGCGAGCATATAGTTTTCTATATAGGCTTCTGGTTTTGCCTGATGAGATGCAAGGGGAGAGTTGTGAGTGAAGAGGGTGGTGTGAGTTAGATAAAATGGATTTAGCCCATTTTTCACATGAGTTCATGTGCCTGTCGACCAGAATATTAACAATCTGGTTAAGTGGCACGTTGCTTACCCTGCTGACAACCTTTAACATCCTGCGTAATATGTTATAGTCTTTCTTCAGTAACCCGGGAAAAACTAAGGGGGAACAATAGAGAATAATAGGCAGGATGCAAGAGTTAACGAATTGTAGGAGTAAGGGTTGGGTTATACCAGAATGTTTTAACTTCTTGATGTAGAAGGTAGGACGGAATATTTTCTTAGAAATCGTCAAGATATGAGACGACCAGGAGAGATCAGCAGATAGAAAGACGCCTAGGTATTTAATTTCCGATTTAGTTTCTATTTCAGTGCCGTCTATATTGCATACCTCGTGAGAGCTAACCAGTTTATTTAGGTCGGATTTATGCCTAAAGGTGAAATTGACTGTTTAACATTTGGAGGGGTTTAGGGTAAGACCTTGGACCACTGGCTGATTTCTGACAGAAAGCCATTAAGTTTAGAGCAGTCGCTTTGACATTTGACAGGCAAAGATACAATCAGGTCGTCAGTATATTTGACAAAATTAATGTCGTTTGAAGATGGTAAGTATAATTTATTTATATTTCGTATAAACAGGTAAGTTTACATGAAATGTATGCCATTTTTATATGTGGAAAGAAAGAAAAGAGAAGTGGGGAGAGTACAGCACCTTGGGGGACACCAGCTTCAGTGAGTACAGCAGGGGATGATTTACCTTTGTATACGGTTTACTGCTTTCTGTTAGAGAAGTAGGAATGCAGCCAGTTAGTGACCCAGGACTCAGTTTTTGTCGAACAAAGCTTATTTAGCAGGAGACATCTAGGTACAGAGTCGAAAGCCGAAGTGAAGTCGAGAAACGTGCAGCGGGCGTATTTGGCACCTTTATCTAATGATGAGACGATACTGTTGTGTAAGACGGCTGCAGCGTCTAAAGTGCTCCTACCCTGTCTATAGGCAAATTGTTTGGGGTCTTCAAAGTTTTTACAGGTGGGTTCAAATTTAAGAAGTACTGGTTTTTCCATTGCTGGCAATGGGTCTGAACTTTACGTTCTTGCTATTTCCAGGTTTAGGGACAGGGACAATTTTAATGTCTTTCCATGCTTCACGTACGACATTTTTGGAGAAAGAAGCATTTAGGATGTTAGTTAGTGGAGAACACAACGCATCTGCACATTGTTTTAGAAAATCGAGAGTATTAAAGTCATGAAAGTTTTCAGCTACATGATAGGTAACATTAAAAGTAGTTAAAGTAGAAGGACAGCGTATAAAAGACTGATTAAGGGCATTAACATAGTAAGAGGGAAAAGCATTACAACGCTTACTATTACCAGTAATTTCAATAAAAAGTTTCCACATGCTGATAGGAGATTTGCATGATAAAAGTGTATCATTGTAGATAGCATTAAGATTTTTGATCTCAGATTTGATTTGAGCATTATTCTTTTGAGTCCTATCTTGTCTTTGGATGTGTATAATTTTTCTTTTTGCCTGCGAAGTTGTTTGAGATAAGGAGATGAGAAGCGGTTGAGGCGTTTGAATAGTGTTTGTCTGGGACAGCATATATTAAGGCAGAACTTAAGACAATCCGTTATATTGACAATTGTGTCATCTAATGAACTTTCATGAAATAAATCCCAGTTAGTATTTTTTTAACATAGACCTTAGATTGAGTAAGTTGTCGGATGAATAGCATCTTTGTTGTGCTTTCATAGACAGATGTGAGAAGATTTTAATATGTGTTTTGTTGAATGTTTTTGGTAGAACACGAACAATAGAGTGATCAGAGTTGAGGATCGGTGCACGTTTACGTGTTTCATATATTGCTTCGTCATTTGTAAAAACTAAGTCCAGTGTTTTGTCAAGTCGAGTGGGAAATTTGACAATGTTTGAGTGAACAAGTGCTTCAAGGAAAGAGCAATCTGACGAGTTGAAGTCCCCAGTAATAACAGATAGAGAGTTATCGAGGTTGGCAGCAGCAAACATGGTGAATTCATCAGCAAAATTTGAAAGATTAGATAGCGAGCAACTTGGAGAAATGTACATGTTTGTAATAAAGATATGTTTATATTTGGGGAGAGGTTTGGGACGACATTTGACGGTGATACAGTCCATGAAGTTTTGGAGGTTGAAGGTATCGACGTTTGCGAACTGTACGGAGTATACTAACGCAAGATCTTATACCAACAACTTCTAAAGTGTTCGCTCTTCGAGTACCAAAGGCAAAGCAGAAGACCAGATTTTGTCGTCCAAAGTACGTAATATATTTCGGGACAAAATCGCGCGTTGAAGTGAATGCTTAGCTAGCTAGTAATCGTGCAC